AAAATTTCATCATTTTGAAATTTCTGAATGAAAGTGGCTTTTTAAAGAAAGGAACTTACAAAACTCACATACTTTTTAAGCTGCTTTTCATTGTGAGTTAATATGTACTAAAAAGAGGAATAAAGCCCATCATATTTGAATGCCACTTTTTCCTACTTATTAACCTTTTTGGTGATTAAAATATGAGTAAATCATAAATTACTGAACAAAGCATACTCAATTACAGTTTGAAAAATAACACCAGACTTGCTTGGAAATAAAGAGAGAACTTCAATTCATAGAGCAGGGATAAGCAAATATGGCCCACCACCTGTTGTGTATAAAGTTTTATTGGAACACAGCAGTGCTCATTCATTTACAGATTGTCTATGGCCGTTTTCACACTTCATTAAGAGAGCTGAGTTATTGCAACAGAGATCTATCTTATGGCCCTCCAAGCCTACAGTATTAGTTATGTGGCTCTTTACAGAAATATTTGCCAATCTCTTTCATAGATTCGCAGGAAAATGTAAAAAGGATGGAGATTACATAACCAACCCCCTCAGTCTATAGATGAGAAAACTGAAACTGAGATGTTAGGGAATTGTCCAGGTTTATTTATGCTTGGATATTCTGATCCTTATATCTTAATAACTCTAATAATCATGGCAGACAAGGATAGATTTCAGCTTAGATATCAACACCGAGTGGTAGTGACCATCTGGAGTGCTCGTTGAGAAGGTCTCAGGGCTCACTGAGAAGGAAAGCAATGATTGGTTAATCTTCCAGGGTCCAGGTGTGGGAGAGCAGCAGAGTATGTGCCAGGTAGGCTCTCTGAATATACACTATGTCTGCTCCATCTATTATTCATAGTTATATTACCATTTCCTCCCTCGTATGTCTGTCATGTAAGCACTTTATTCATTGGACCAAATCAGAGGTATGCATCGGGCCCTCATTAGAAGCACTGCTGCCTAGCAGTTCAGAAGCGACTCTTGTACAAGCTCATTCAAATATTGTTCTTAGCAACTGCCTACCACCTCACGCTCGGCCTAAAAGGATTTAACCTGGGATTTCATTCAAACTCAATTTTTCTGTTTACAAGAATCTTAACTGTCAGTGAAATGTGTCCATGGGGGCACAGAGTGGGGGGTGTAAAATGGAAAGCTGTCCGTTTATTGGTTTTTGTGATTCAAATTGAAAGTCTCCTTGCTTTGTGCTTCTGTGCAGCTGGACAATCCAGATGAGCAAGCGGCACAGATCAGACGAGAGCTGGATGGACGACTCCAGATGGCAGACCAAATAGCCAGGGTAAGGAAACTCGGGGGACATTTGCTGGGGGACCAAGCTGAAGTCTCACACAGGAAGCACATAGATTATTAAGGGCCATCAAAAGGTAAAACTGAGAAGCTGAGAGGAGGGACAACGAGGACGGTCCCTTTGGCTGGGCCGTATTCCTCCTTTCTCAGGGCAGCGATCCCAGAGGCAGCTCATGTACTTCCTATACTCCAGTCAATACCCAAACCCAGCCTCACCTTTCTTCCAAGTCCCAGGCTTATATTTCCAATGGCCTATTGAGCATTTCAACTTGGACATCCCCTGGCATTTCAAGTTGAATGTGTTCAGAATCTCACTCCTTCACTTCTTCCTCTGGCCATATTCATATACCTATATTTACTCCTCCTCACTTACTCTCCATCCAGTTACGATGGCTGCAACCCCATAGTCATTCTTATTTTTTCCTGCCTCCCCACAACACTCCATACTCAATCAATGACCCAGTCACTGATCCCATCTCCTACATGTAGGTAAGATCTCTTTACTGCTTTCTAGCACCAGTGCTAATACTTTGATTCAGACCCTCATCTTCAACTCCTGGATCTTAAAATAGCCTCCTACTGGGCATCCCTGGGTCCAATCCATTCTGCTCTCCTGTCCATCCTTCATGCAATTGCCATTCTAAAACATATATGAGCATCTCAAAACAGAGCCCCAGAATCCTTCAACAGAATCCCCCATTGTCCCCAGAACAAAATCTAACCTCTTTAGAATGATATTCAAGGGTTTTTAATCCATAGACTATATTTTCCCTTACCTCCCACAAATTTCCCACCAGAACTCCCATTCCAGCTACAGAGAATACGTCCCCCTGAATATTCCAGGCTCTTTCCAACCTTAGTGCCTTTGTACCCACTGGTATTTCAACCTGGAATGACCTTTCTTCTCTCATCCACCTACCAAACTCTCCGACTCAGCCTTCAGTATTCAACTTAAAACCCCTTCACTAAGCCTAGCAGTTAGTCCTCTCCACTTTTGTGCTTCCTTCATGCCATATGTAAACCTTTATTGTAACAGTTCATTGAATGATGATTCCTTTACATGTCTGAGTCTCCCAGTAGATAGGATTTCTCTAGGACTGGGATGATGTCTTACTATTGATGACTGTTTGCCTAAGTATTATTGCTGCTGTGCCATTAGTGTTATTATGAACAGTAGTAATGCTAGTACTATGTATTGAGTGCTGACTCTGTGTCAAGCATACTAAATGATTTACATGTACCATCTCATTCAATCCTCAGAACCGTTTTACAAGGACATTTCAGTTATCATTCTTGTTTTAGGAATGGGGAAATCCGGACTGAGGCACAAGTAAAAAGGCTATACTGAACCCTTTACTCAAGTCTGTCTAAATACCAGGGCT